CCAAACACTTCCTGAACCCTGGCAGACATGGTGCTGTGACCACTTCCCTGGGAACCTGTTCCAGTGCCCAGCTACCCTCTGGGTGGAGAACCTTTTCCTTATATCCAACCTAAACCCTTCTAATACAGCTTCAGGCAATTCCCTTGGGTCCTGTCATTGCTCACAAGAGATAAGAGATCAGTGCCTGCCCCTCCTCTTCCCCTCAAGAGTACTGAAATAAAAAAAGACCATATCAACTGGCTTCCCCTGATGAGCTAGGTGGATTACCTTGTCATAAGCATGCATTCTCGTAAAAAAACATGTCTGATTTCACTGGTATGCATCATAAAGTTTACATATTTGCACAAATGGGACTTTGCTCCTTTTAACTTTAAATCTACCTATAAAATTTTCAGGTACCTGACCTACACATTTTCAATACAACTGACCAAGTGGTTTTTTTATATCTGAAATCATTAAACAATGAGTTCTGTAAATACATCCATTTACTCTCGGACTTCACCTCAAATTCTGCTTTGATCACAAATGTAAGAGAGTCTAGTGATCTCATCCTTGTGCCTAGAAAGAATGTTTGTGCCCATCAGAAAAATCATTACACATTCTGACTGTCATCTCAAAAGAAGAATAAGACATGAATAGCAGGAAATGAGAGATACTGACAGACCGAAGATATTAAGACTGACTCCAGCTAACAATACAAACATCAATTTCAGAAGCATGAAGCTTGACTGCGGAAGTATTATAGATAATGAAAGGGATAAAGGAACAACTTTTGTCTAAATGTTTAACTACATTTTCTTGCACAAGATTTTTAAGCTTCAGCTTGGCACTCAAACACTAGCAAAGGCATATGTAAATGTAAGCAACACCAATCAGATGGATTCCATGAAGGATGCCATCACCTGCATATCTCTGTGAGCAAGTTTTAATGATAGAAAATAATTTCAGCTCTGCAGTAATGGTAGATAGAGACAAACTCCAAAGCCGTAACATCAGTGCATTTTTCCTAAAAATACCCTGATCCGCATATTAATTAAAAAAACCCCAAATGTTTTTGTCTTTTCTCCCAAATAAACACACCTTAAGGAAAATCTTTGGGAGGAGCCTCTTTTTCTAGGGACACCATTTATTGGATTTTCCCCCATATAAACTGTCTGAATCAACACTCTCCAGAATATATGATTTCAAAAGTTTGAAAATAAACCGTACTTTTCCTTGCACCTTTTTGGTTAAAAAAGAAGTTAATCCAATTGAAGACAACAGTTCACATACCTTTAGCATGTACATACTAATTTAAAATTTTCCATTAGAAGATTAAATCACGGGAAATTTCATTAAAGAATTCTTTAAAAACCCAGCAAAAATCAATGTTTTGTCTATTCAGCAATGCAGAATGATTTGGGCAAGCATTAGTCCTACTTGCTCGTTACAAAATGTTTTCTCTTGTAACAGGATTCTGTGAATTATTAGAAAATTTTGCTAAGCATGTAAACAATGTTTCAATTTTCAGTTGCAGAACATATATTTCCAAAAATCCTGATTCACAAAGTACTTCTAACCTGGCCTTCACATACAGTAATATATAGAAAGAAGAGACAGCCCTGTATATTTAAAACTGAGTCCAGTTCCAAAAAAAGAGAGCTACATCTACCCATATACAGATCTCCCAGTATTTCTTTCAAAAAGCTCCCAAGATTACTTAGGAAAACTTGGATGAATATAGTATTAAGTGCTTTAGTAATAAGAACAATGGAAAAAAGTACCATAGGTTACCTTACACCAACTAGAAGTCTCCATAAAATCCATAGTTATTTATTAAGAAACTGTTCAGCACAGGTGGCTTTATGTTCTAATTTTACGGCTTTTCTTTCAACAGAGTTTTCTGTTGGCAGTGGTCCTATAATCAAGATTTAGACACTAAACAGCTCTCTGAGACTAGAGAACATTATTTTTTTTATTGGAATTGTGGAATTGCTATAGGGTGAACATGGAGCTTGCTTTCTCATACCCTCAAATGGAGGGGAGGGAAGTATGAAAAGTTCCCCTGGGTGCTGAGTTGCTCCCCTCTGCTCCTAAGCTCTAGAACAAAACAGAACTACAAGTGCAGAAAATTTAACCAATACCAGGAACTACTTGGTGATTAGAGAAAGGTAGCAAATGTACAGATATCTCAAAGAGGGGCCACGAGCTGCACTTCACAAAACTTCCTAGTTTTATATCCTAGAACCAGTAATATGTCTGAAGGGTGTTGGATATGGAAAGACTGAAGTGCCTACAACCTCCCCCTCCCTCAGATCACCAGGTAAAACTTTTATTCACAGAAGTATTTTTATTTTCAAGCTGTTTGGCTAAGATTTTCTACCCATTACTTTAGTAAGCAACTGTTGATCAGAGTGCATCCTTCTTCTTTCTAGTGTTAGACAGCAGGATGCAACTCTATTTATCAACTCCTTAATATACAAGGATCCTGAAGCTTTTAATCCTTCTTCCTAACTGTTGCAAACTTGGAGATTTGATAATATTTCATGGCATTTCATCAAAAACTTGTCAGAAAGATTTAAAAAATCTGTAAATTCTTTTGTAAAGCTTTATTTTCATCAAACATGAAACACACTGAAAAAATATGATAGGATCCTTTCAGACGCCTGGGAAAAATTGCACAATAAAAATTAAGAAGAAACAAGCTCCCCATCACAAGAGAAAAAGCAGTGGTCTTGGACAAAAATGTTTCATAACACATTAGAGCACAACAGGACCAAGTGTTGTGCTCTAAGACTCTCCCTCTAAAAGCATAGTTTAAGAAATCTTAAACTGTGCAGCTGTACAGTCATAGATAAGAAGCCAAACAAACCATGACTCTTAACCACTCTACTAGACTGGCAATCATTCATGATTCTCACACTTTATCATTTCCCTTGCCCAAAAAACCAAACCCCTCTTTCATACAAGACTGATATTTCTTTTCCTGATTTCTATCTTCACAGAAATATCCTGCAGAGTGCCTTAATAATCCTAGCAGATTCTTGTACTTCAAAGTCAAGTGAATTTGATACTTAAACATTTCTTTCATGGTTTGCAAGATTAGAGAAGTCCTTTTCTAGAGATTCTCCTTTCAACAGGCTCCTTTTTCCTCCAGTGCTTTTCAAAACTGCTGGAGCCAGTTCTATTAACAAGTTCCTTTTGTTACAGCTTCCTCTGACAACTTGTCTTCTCTATAACCCCATGTGGACTTCAGAATAATTCTTATTCTGAAGAAATTATATGCACATGTCATCTTTTGCCTAAAATAAACTTTCACTGTAAGAAAAAAATCTTTGTCTTATCCTTTCAAATAGCATGTGCAGACATTGTTAGAGTAGGGGAATTCCTGTTGGTAGCGTGCCACTATCAATAATGCATGTATAGAAGTCACTAACGTTGTAAAAACCAGGTTTGTTATCACTGATCCTTCCCTCTGTATTACTTCATCGTGAATTCAGGCAAGTGTTTGTCAAAAATTTAACTATTCAATTACTTGGGTTTAGTGTTCAGGACAATAGGAAACTAATACTCACAGTTCAGGAACCCTTACACAGAAACATTAAACAGAGTAGTCACTTTGTAAATATAGGTGTACAAGAAGATGTCCAGGTATAAAGCGTTCAAGCCCAGGTTCAAGAACATAAAGGCAAAATCCTTTCTTTCCTCTCCTTACCGCACATTCATTACTTGGAAATATCGTCACTAAGTGGAACACTAAGAATCTATGTCAAGCATTATCTTCTAGATATCCTTGACTGTAAGGTTTGAAGAATGTCAAACTTCTATTCTCTTACCTAGTTCAGTAACCTGTCGATCAAAAGGACAACGAACTGCTCTGCCATGAAGGGGAAGCCGGGTAAGACAGTCATGGCAGACAGTATGGCCACATAAAAGCAGCCGGGGAACTTTGTCCCCTTGCAGCGAAAATACATCTTCACAGACCCCACACTCAAGAACCTGTAAGTTAAAAAAGACCATTTTTGGTTTTAAGCTAATTAAAAAGCAAAACTTTACACAGGAAACTATATGACAATTTATTTCACAGACGTTCATGTAATCACAGTACATAAGTTGAGTCGGTAATTTTGCTTTATATGCACACATATAACGATCATACTATCGGTTTTTAAAAAGTAAATAAATAATTAGACACAGAACATTTTAACTACTCAGCATCCTGCCTGACCACCACTAGTTCCTACGCACTTCATTTAATACGCTGCCACAAGATAAGCCTACTGGTCAAGAGGTCCAAACAAGAAACATCCTCGCAGGAAAAGGAAGCGGCCAGCAAGACCCTGCCAGAGCAGAGTGTTGGCCGGTGGAGTTTCCCCTCGCAGCTGATGCTCATAAAGAGGTCAGTCACACCAAGTGAGCCAACTAGCAAGCTATAAACGCAGCACCGAGCTATTGCGAGCAAACACTTGCGGGCTGGAACATCTCAAGCTATAAACAAAAGGCAAAACTGATGGTCATACAGAAAATAAAAAGAAACACCAAAACCAATCCATTAGCCCGGCACCCCAAGGGGCATATCCTGCACCACAGGCCTCCCGCGCCGCGTCCTGGCCGGGCACAGCCCGGCCTGCCACAAAAGCTGGGCCGAGCCACCGCCTCACCTTCACCGCAGCGCCCGCCGGGCCGCGACCGCCACCGCCAAGCCCGCGGCCACTCTCCGGCCCGGCCTTGTTTACAGCCAGGGCCGCCATCTCGGGGAAGGCGGAGCGGAGCGGCCCCGCAGGAAGGAGCGGAGAGCTGCCGCCACCTCAGGCGCCACCCCGGCTGGCGCAGGCGCCGCCCTGCGGAACTGCAAAACTACAGAAATGTAAAACTACGACTCCCAGCGTACCTCGCAAGAGAACTGGCGCGCGGAGCAGGCGCTGGTGCCGCACCCTGGCCCCCGGGGGAACCCTGGGGGCTGTAGTCCCTCCCGCCGCGCTGCAGCCTGGGACGGCCGTGCCTGCTGCCGCCGCAGTCTGCGTGGCTCCTCCCGCTCCGCCGGCCATCCCGCGGGGTGAAGGCCATGGACGTCAACCAGCCCAAGCAGGAGCATTTGCTGGCTCTGAAAGGTACCAACAGCGCGGCCCCACCGGTTCCCGCCCGTCCGGTCCTGATTCTGTGGTGAAACAGCGTGTCTGATCCGCAGCCGAGGGTGGTTCTCGCCCCGGTTTAGAAGGAGCTGGAGCAGGGAGCGGCCCGGCGCTCGGGGCCCGCGGCGCTCGGTGCCCGAAGGCGTAAGGGAGCCGTGAGGGCTGTTCCTCCGAGCCGCGCACACCACAGGGTGTGCGCCTGGCGTGAGGGGCTCAACGCGGCTGCCCGGCTGTGTCAGTGCTTTGCATAAGGCTTAAAAGAAAATGTTCAGCTCTAGTTTCCCCTCCAGTTCTCCTGCTGTCTCTTGTTTGTTTGTTTTTCAGGACGAGAGGACACAGTCTTAAACTGCGACAGGGGAGGTTTAGGTTGTGCGTTAGGAGGGATTCCTTCCCTGGAAGGGTGCTTAGACACTGGCATGGGCTGCCCGGAGAGGTAGTGGAGGCACCGTCCCGGAAAGTATTTAAGGAAAGACTGGACGTGGCACTTGATGCCGTAGTTTGTTTAACAAGGTGGTGTTAGGTTTTACGTTGGATTCCATGATCTCAGACGTCGTTTCCAACACAGTTGATTCCCATTAGGATGGCTTTTGCCCTTTTCACCCCATCCTTAATGTGCAATTATGAGGCTTACCTCTTTGATCAGAGTGAAAATACAATTCTGTAGGTCACTTGCATGCCTCCAAAATTAATGTAGAAATCAAGAGAGCCCTGTGAAGAACTTGATCATTTCTGAATCATAAATGCTGGTAGTTATGTACATGTAATGAAGAGCTGGTTAGAATCTCACTTCTGCAAGCATTCTAGATCAGTGATACTGCCCAGGTGGATAAAGTAGTGCAGGTATGAGTAATTTCAGAGGCCATCTTCGCGTTTTAAAACTCTTCTGGACAAAGTTTTTAATAGTGTCTCCGTGTGCTGGTAAAATCTGTTAACCATAATTCAAAGCTCAACAAGCTCTTTTCAAATACGTGTACACACACGCAATAAGGGCAGAAACATGAGAATGTGAAAGGTCAGCAGCTGTCAAATGTATTTTAGTAGTAATTAATTCAAAGTAAAAAGTTTTATGGTGGATCATTTTCCGTTTATAAGAAACCAGTGCCATCCTTGGTTTTGTATTGAATTTAATCCAGGTTGTATTTTTTGTAGAAGTGGATTTATTTGCATTGTGACTCTATTAAACAAAATCTTGATAGTGGCAATCCTAGATTTTATTATTTTGATATCACGTATGTTACTGCTCTCCATTAGGGAGTGTGAAATGACTGCAAGTTTTTGTGTGTGCAGGGGGAAAGGGGGAGAAGGGTAGGAAATAAGAGAGCAACACTGTGCATATTTTACTTATGTTTCATAATAATGTAGTTCTCCCTTCACCATGCTTCTGAGTTTAATATAATCTTTGTATGGAATATAAAGCCTTTGACAACTTAATATGTTGCTTAGTTGTTTCAAAAATCTAATAAATTAAGAAATTATAAGTTCCTTAAGGATTAAAGCATAGTTGCATGTAATGCTTGGAAGCTTTGAGGCTAAAACTAGATGTGTAGTTCTGATACAAAATGGAAGCAGGCAGCTTTAATTTGCCTAGAGCACTTCCCTTTTAACTTTTCACTTTAAAAATTACTGTATCAGTCTGTACTATTTTGGGAAGGGTTTTTGTAACATATATGTTTTCTAGTTACTTTATGTGCCTCGGCTAAAAGTGCTGATATATAGGAGTAAAACTCTTAAAAAATTGTCCGCTTAATTTGAGAAAATAGGCAGAAGTAATTGTGTGTCTTTTAATATGCATCACAATATAACCAACCACAATATAACCAGAATAGTGATGGATGGCAAGTATGAGATGGCAACAGTAAAAGAGTTCTCTTGGAAAAGGACTGTTTTGAGTAAGCAATGTGCATGTGAAAAATGTTCAGTGTACTGAAGTTACACTGGTAATGATGGAATACAGCTGCTAATGTTCAGCCTAGATAAAATAGAATGTTCTGATATATATCTCATGTATTTTTACTACCTGTTTCTTTCTTGAAAAATATCCTAGCAACGTTTGTCTTAATATGGTAGTATCTCATTGTTTTATAATACTTCTGCTTTAGGTCCTGTTTTCCACTGATCTATGCATCATGGGGCAAGGAAATTCTTGTAAATAAGATGTTTCAGTCTAGATACAAGAATCATTATCAAGAGACTGGTTTCCTAAGAATCACTGGATTCCTACTGTTCAAGCATGGAAGTGGTCTTGCACTATCGACCACATCAGAGAGATTTAATAAAACTGCAGAAATTTGCAGAAGCAGCAGTGAAGGAGTTTCCCATTCGCCAATTACCAAGATTTGCACCCTGGTTTCCAAATGATTTACACAGACTTCCCCTCAAACCAAAAAAGCAGGCACCTGTTATTTCTTGTGAGGAAGTGGAAGAATTGAAACAGCTTTCTACACCTTCAGAATATGTTACAGGATCTACTGATTATGACTGCACAAAAAATCTCCTTGAGTTTCACTCTAGCATGAAACATGGTCCGACTTTAATCCAAGCACAGGTTGTTCACAGACCAGTTAACTTGGACTGTCAAGGAGAACCACCACCTAATGGAAAACAAAAATTGAAACGGTCTTGGAGTGTCTCTCTCCCTAGCACTAAACTCAGAGAAAAGATTCATCCTTTATCTCAAGAACTGCAGAATAATTTGGAAAGACTAAAACTGCATGCATTTTGTAGAGCCAAGTGGACAATTGAACAGTCTTTTTGTAAAAATGAGAATTTGGAGGACATATGGATAAAATTGAATAGACTCATTAAACAGAATGAATTGCCATCATGCAATGCTACTATCCAAAGATCTGTGGGACAGATATGGATTTTCTGTGATATATTATACTGTGAATATGTTAGAAATATTCTTAGGGAAAAGCTAAGCCTTACAGATAAAATGAATTTGCTTGTACATAAATATGGAATTATATTTAGTTTATAACTTCAAATATATTTCAATAATAACATTACAGTCAGAAATACTAAAGTTTTTAAGCACTTCAGAATATATAGATCTTAAAACAACTGATAAATTAAGAGTAAGAAAACTACTCATGTTACTTTGCCATAGGCTTTGGTTTTCTAACTACAATGATATATTTATTTAACTTTGTTTTGTCTCAAGACTTATAGTTCTGTTAAGATTAGTAAATTTCCACTTGGCTTAGTACTGTGTTTTATAGCCTTTCTCTACCTTGGTGGTCTAAAGCGAAAAATGGAAATAAAAATTCCAGACTATTGTGGCAAGCTATGTCAGATAATAAAATTAATGCTGTCAATTAAGCAAAGTACATCCTCTCTGCTTCATTTAGAATTAGGAGAAGGAAAGATGTTTTTAAGTGTGTTGTAATAATTGCTATAACAGCTGTAACTGACATTAAGATTTTCAAGATCTGATTATTTCCTGAAAGTAGTATGTGAGTTTTTTTAATGATGGCATATCCCTCCCATGAAGTACAAAATCAATTTATGTGGGATATGTAGTAATGTTAGCTATATTTTCACAGAAGTATTAATGATAGCTTCAGTGGAAGCTGTGGGCTAAAAAATAATAAACAACTTAATAATTGCTGTTTTATGCCTTTGATAATTTATTTTCCTGATGTTTCTGTTCTTTTGTCTCTAATTATATTTGGGAACAAGAAAACACCAGCTTCCAGGTGAAAGAGAGGAAATTAGGAAATGAGACATCTATTTGAACCCTCTTGTTGTCTTTGAGAATTTGAATGCCTTTTATGGTCATAAAAGGCAGAGTTCAGGATGACTTTTTGTCTTCTAAAAGATTGAAGTGTTCCAAGGTCATGCTGTCCCTGCTGAGTTGAAACTTTGGAGGGTCAGTAGAGAAGTTTAAATAGGATCAATATGACTGCAAGATTTTGCATTTGCACTCCTACGAATTCTAGATAGTTTTGATGTAGCTGGAGGTCAAGGCCTGTAGCATCTGGAAAAGGGGGAAAACAGTATTTGTAGATTATTAGATTGTCATTAATGCTGCTCGCACCAAAATGTACCTAAGCATAACAGAGATCCCTCTGTAAAAAAAACAAAAGTGAATTCCCCTCAGATTTAACAGTCTTGTAACATCCTTGTGTTGCATAATTATATTTTATTATAGGCATTACAATTTTTTTTAGATAAAAATTTCTCCATTTGAGTGATTGACATGTATTTTTAAACTTTGACTGAATTTTAAGACATTTGTAGATGTCTTACATTTATGATTGGGGTGTTTGTCACATTTAATATGACAACTTAGCAAAACTGATGCAAAATGCTGTCTAGACTGCATTATAACTGCAGTATAACTAAGGGTTGTTAATAGTTTTAAAGTCTGTCTAGCCAAATTTTTTGCTGACATTATATTTCTGAGCTCAACATTAATAGTAACAAAATTTGCAAAATTGCATCAGCATTTTTGAAGATAAAATGAAGTAAAATGCAGTGTGATTTGAGTTCTATTTAATGTTTTTTGTATCTAGGATCTTAGAAGAGATGATACATTTTCTAACAGTAATTTAGTACTTCTAATAAATGTGATAATACCTATCATAGGTTGTTTTGACTTCATTCTGTGATGTATTTGTTTATTTTCTGAAACATGACTTAACTTTTTTTTAGAAATAGCAAATGGTAGTTATACAGGCATAGTGTGAATTTGAATAAATTTGGATAATGCCAATAATACAGTCCCACTAGATTAATTTGATATACTGACAAAAGAGCTAAACATTTTACTAAACAGAAGGAGAGATTGTTGTCACTGTAGCTGCCAGTTTTGTGCTGCTTTGAGTTGGCTTGTATGTGAGTAATGGTAGATACACTGCTAGCTGTGAGCACCTCAGCTGGTAACTGAGGTCTTGTAAGAGTAAACACCATGCTTCTCTGCAGAATTACTACAGTCATGGTTAGCGCTGGTATACAAGCTGAAATCCAGGCTTTCATTTTGTTCTCTTTGAGGAATGCTTAATTCATAAGCATGTGTAATTCAGTATATTTTCTTTTTAATTTCCAATGTTGAATGTGGTTCACTGTTTACTCTATTTTATATATCTTGGGTTTTGTTTAATATACCTCACGGTTCTAACTCTTCAAAGGTCACCATAACAAAGAGAATATGTTCTCTTTTTTTTTCATGTGAAAAGTGAGAATTGTTTTTGTCAATGGTCATTTGCATGGGTCTGCTGTATGGTAGCATAAGTTCTTGTGAACCAATATTGCCCACTGTACCCAAATGTCTGTCAAAGCAATTGAATACTTTACACCACTGGGAACAGTGAACGCTGTCTGGACACAGTAGCTGTACAAAAGTACAATAAAAATAAACCTACCATACCTGTGTCAGTGCAAACGTATTGATTAACTTGTTGCAATCAAGAGACATCCTTTTGGTTTATTTTTTAGTTTTTGTTGGTGTTATGTTTGTTAAGTTTCAAAGAAAAAAGCCCTAATGGTTTTTACGTATTCAGATTAACACCTAAGATTACAAATGCTCAATTTTGTTTCATATGAATGCCTTCATGACAAACTGTATGTAAGTTTAGGACCTTTGGTTAATTTGAAGAGGAAGAAATTCTTTTAAGCAGTAGCATTATTTTCACTTAAATCTGTCATTTAAATGAAAATAATGTAATTTTGAGTGTGAGTTAAAATAGCCTTTGAAAATACCACTTACTTGAAATAGTGGTTTTTTAATAGGAAAATCTTAATGATTTTGATTTTGCCAGTATAAATAAAATAGCTTTGTTGTATTTGCATGAGGTTTTTGTGCTGGTTTTACTGGTTTGAGTTTAAAGTTTGTGACTTAGAGAAAAAGCAGTGGTATAAATAATGTAGGCTTTTAGTATTGTAACTCTACCTTGTGTAATTGTTAAGGTAATAGGTTAAGACGTAAATGCAATTTCTAGTAGACTGGTGTTTGACTGAAAGGGTCTGTACGAGTCGTCATGTCCCATTCTAGGGCAACAAGGCTCACAGGACAGGCAGTTAAGCTGGAAAAGTCTACAAACAAATGAAATGGACACACTTCTGAAGACCACAAAGCACTTAATGCTGTAGCAGGTGTAAGACTTCTAACACATCAAATTGAAAGCAGTAGATGAATAGGTTAGTTCACCAGGATAGAAAGCAAGAGGAAGCAATGGCATTCTTGGATCTTAGAATAGCAGGGAGGGTTTTTTTGTACTGCAAAAGGCCATATGATCCTTTTTCAGGCTGAGACTTTTTTGGTGGTTGTGGTCTGTTGGGTGGTTTTGGTTTTTCTTGTGAAAGTTGAAAAACAAACTTAAAAATAGTTGTTTGATTGTCCAATGTTTTTTTGTTTTTTTTTTTTCTTTTTATTTTTGCAGTGATGAGGCTAACCAAACCTACCTTGTTCACTAATATTCCGGTGACTTGTGAAGAAAGAGATTTGCCAGGTAAGTCTCTTCTACTGGCTGATTATTATGTATGTTTTACCAAGTTTAAGCAGTGTGACCATCTAACACTTAGAGGAGTCATGACCTCCCATAGACTCTTATCTGAAACAGCAATATACTTAAGATTTGGTAATAGCTAAAGGAAAGTACCAAGGTGCACTCTATAGCTCTTGACCTGTATCTCTGAAAGATTGGTGATGATAGTCAAACACATGACCTCAAAGTTTGAGCAGTTGACGTACACAGTGAGATGTAGTTCTGTGCAGGAAGTGTGTAAGTGGAGAAAGATTGGCATTTTAATATATTTTTTTAATTTGGAGAAAAGACCCTGGTAGTTACAACCAACACATGAATGTTCTGTGGAAAAACAATCTTGCAAGAATCACTGGTTTTGAGTTGCATTATGCTTGGTGTGCCGTCATGAATTGGAAGCCCCTGGGCTGTCTCCCAGAAATAGCTGAAGTCTTGAAGTCAAGAGTCAAAGGAAAGACTGAAGAAGGAGGGTTGTGTGGAAAAAAAAGCAAGCAGGGGAAGAAAGTAAGTGAGGTCGATTATTTCTGTTATGTAACATGGTTTAGATGGATAGAATTTATCTCAAAATTCAGTGTTAATTTGAGCAATGCCTTTTGGATTGTGCACTTCAGTATGTACATACTGAGTAAATTATTGGACACAAGTGTCTTGAAGTTAAGTTATAGGCAGGCTTATAGATATATATTTCATCCTTGAACAAGTTTATTGTAAAAGAAATGTATCTAAAATAAACTCCATCTGAGTAAGTGATTATGTGCCTAACTTAAATGTAGACAAAACTTTGGACTTAGCAAATATTTAATTAATAGGAACTTGATATTTTTACAGGTAATCTATTTAACCAGCTCATGAAAGACGATCCTTCTACTGTAAAGGGGGCTGAAACTTTGATGTTAGGAGAAATGCTGACTTTGCCTCAAAATTTTGGGTAAGAATAAATGATTGTAACTGTAATATGTAAGGTTTAGGATTCATACTTCTCTTTCTGTTTGTGTACCATTGTTCTGCAACGAGATGTTCAGTCATTTAAAAAATATGTGGCTTGATTTATAAATATATATATGTGTATGCTGCCTGAAGTTTCTTGTCTGTAGCCTCACTGAACCTAATGAGCATTGAAAGAGATTGGCAGCTGTGTGTGAATTTCTAAGATAATGCACTATAAATCACATGTTATACTAACAGAGTTTACTACTGTGATTTTTGTGGGTGCTGAAAGCCTTCTTATTCCTGTCAGACTTTTAGCTAGAAAAAATTCTGATTTGGTTGTTGTCTTTTAAAACTGTTTGTCTTAGAAGGATGATTTCAGAAGTATGGGTACGCAAATGCCAATTTTCTTCAACGGTTTGATCTGGCAAATGTGTATGTGTATGAACTTAAAAATGTTTCAGTGAAATGTTCTGGTTTTTAATAAATGTAACTAAAAATAGTTTCTTTTTTTTCCCTTTTTCTTTTTTGCCTGAAATACAGAAATATATTCCTGGGAGAGACATTTTCCAGTTACATTAGCGTGCACAATGATAGCAGTCAAGTTGTTAAGGACATACTGGTAAAGGTATGGTAAAGAAAACTACACTTATAAAAGATTTATAAAAAAATAAAACACAGTTACTATATTTTCTGACAATATATTGTATGTTTAATGCTAATACATAGACTTCAGGAAATATGTGCCCCTTTTTCCAATCCAGAAAATATACCTGGAAATTGGAAAGAGTAAGAATAGAATTATTATCATTATAATAGAATAGAATTATAATTCTATAACAATTGCATAAATCTTCAAAGATTAAAATGAAAAACTTGGATTGTGTAAAAAAATTGATTTATTACAGAATCATAGCGTTTAGGTTGGAAAAGACTTCCTGAGGTCACCAAGTGGAACTGTTAACCCAGCATTGCCAAGTCCACTGCTAAGTTCCACATCTGCACAGTCCCCAGCAGGGATGGCAGTATTGGACAGGCTGCCTAGGGAAGTGCTCAATCACTTCTCTAGGCAGCCTGTTCAATGCTTGACAACACTTTTCATGAAGAAATTGTTCCTGCTATCCAATCTAAACCTCCCCTAGTGCAACCTGAGGCCATTTCTTCTTGCTCAAATTGTTTGTTGTTACCTCTGAGAAGAGACCAGCTTACACCTGGTTACAGTCTTCTTTCATCTAGTTGCAGAGAGCAGTAAAGTCCTACTCCTGAGCCTTTTTCTCGTGGCTAAACACCCCCACCTCCATTGACCTTCTTTGAACATGCACCCTTCTATTTAAAACTTCTCTGAACAATTGTTACAGCAAAACTTCCACAGCTGAAAAACAGAGTTACATTCACTTACCTTCACTTTCAATGAGATCTTCAGTTCCCTGTGAATCATACACTGATCTGTATATTGTATTAATTCTTTTCTAGAGAATTGGGGTTTTGTGTTTACTGTACAAATAAAACAGTAAAAATTTCAGAAGGCATTGTGGAACTCAATGTATAAAGTAAATAGTGATTTTGTAAGCTGTATGGTAAAGGATTGGATTATTTATATGTTTTACGGCTTGTCTTTAGCTTTATAAGTATCTCATCATCTTAATATATGTCGCAGAAGGTGTCTGAGTCAAGAATATCAGAATATTCTGAGTTGGAAGGATCCCACAAGGACGAGTAAGTCCAACTCTTAAGTCAGTAGCCCACACAAGGATCAAACCCACAGCCTTGGTGTTGTGAGCTCCATGTTCTGACCAACTGAGCTCTTACAATATGTGTGAAAGCATGTAGGGTACAAAATGCACAGTGAGACCTAGTACTTTATAACATAAGTTACTTTTCTTTAACACAAGTTAAACAGCGATAGTTCTAACTGATGCTTTGGTTTTCTGTCCCCAGGCTGATCTTCAGACAAGTTCTCAGCGTTTGAACCTTTCAGCTTCTAGTGCTGCAGTAGCAGAACTTAAACCTGACTGTTGCATTGATGACGTGATCCATCATGAAGTAAAGGAGATAGGAACACACATGTAAAATTTTAACTTTTTCTATTATTAAATAAGCTTAATTGCTGGAGTACATGCATGCTATTCTGCTTTTGATATAGCACAAGATTTAAAGTAACACAACTTTTTTTTAAATTTTTTTTTCAGCTTAGTTTGTGCAGTAAGTTATACTACACAGACTGGAGAGAAGATGTACTTCAGAAAGTTCTTCAAATTTCAGGTATTTCATGAAGTATTTTACTCCACTTTTAATAAGTGTGTGAGTCTGGAAAATGCATTTTAAAACATTCGATACTTCATAAGCACTTTTATGTACCAAAAATCCATTCCCTTTTAAAAGTGAACCATTAAGAGCCACTGCTTCAAACTTCACACAAGTAGGGGTTTTCCAATTACACACAGTTAAACATCTCAGAACTAATAAATATAACATCTAATAATTTTTACTAATTTATTGAGGAAAAAAATGTGCTCTTAAAAAGTCCCTTTTTATAGCAGACAGCTCTTTGACTATTTTTAAACAGAACAAGTATTGGTCATTCTGGCTTTGATACATGCAACCATTGAGCTTGTATTGTAAAATTCTGATTTTTCTTTTAGTGTGTGCAACCTTATTAAACTGGAATTTAATAGTTTGGTTTTTAGAGGAATTTAAGTAAAGAGGTCTATTGTATAATAGCTTTTATATATTATATAAAGATATATATATATCTTATATCTTCTATTATATATATATATAAATATATCTTATCTTATATCTTAAACCTTTTCTTCCATCACACAAATTTCAAGACTTGCAATAAGAGTGACTGAGGAAAGCAAGAAACTAATCTGTGGGCTGGTTCTGGCAAGAAAGAGTCTGTTTAATGTATATTTCATGGGTGTTTAATTTTTTAGAGCAATATATTGAGACTTGGATATTGGTGGACTAATCTTC